TCTATGTGGCGTTCGAGTAAACGGCTCCGTAAGAACTCGGAGGGATAAAGACACACTTCGTTGCCTTTTCGTCGTTTTTGCATACTCTCCCACTGATTGCAGCCCGGATGAAGTGGAAGATAACTTTTAAAGAAAGCTTTTGAACCTCTTCAAGAAGCTACACGTTCAGACATAGTACTCATAGCAGGTGGCTTTAATGCCCAGATAGGTAGCTTAAACCAAACAGTAAGATATTTATGTGGCTATTTCGGGAATCCGGATCAGCGAACGAATAATGGCGATCGTCTGCTGCAACTGTGCTCAACCAATCGTTTATTTTTAGCAAGCACAAATTTTAAGCATAAGGAGAGACATCGTCTAACATGGCGACCGCCTGCACCAAACCATTGAACTCAAATAGACTATAATGCCGTTATTCATCTTGGGAGAGGGTCGATAGAAGATTGTCGCTCGTTCTGGAATACCTTCTTGGACTCCGACCATTCTCTAATACGGGGACGCATCTGGTTGCGCCTCACTGGACGCAAAAAGCCACACTAAAAAGACCCTTTAGAATGTCATTGAGTAATGAGGAACTCAAAAGTAGGTTCCAGGAACGACTGAGGTCACACTCAGTTAGTTCTGAAAACGAGGCTGACCAAGATGTTGCCTGGAAAGATATACAAACAGCTGTGGAAACAGCAGTGACATCTGTTAGTGATTTTAACCAAAGGGGTACCAAAAGCCATTGGATTTCTTCTAAGGCTATTGTACTGATGGATTCTCGTAAACTCATCCCATCAGGCTCTGAACACGATGAAGAGCGAAAGCAAATCAGATCTAGGTTAACCAAAAGTCTACGGAACAGTCGTGAGCAGTGGTGGGTAACGAACGCAAAAGAGATGGAAAAGACAACGGCTGTAGGTAACACCAGACAGCTTATCAGACTAATAAAATAAACCGGAATTAAGGGGTTAAGTGTAAGTGAGACAATCACAGAAAAAATGGCACTCTTATGTTCTCTCACTCTAGACGTTTAGAACGATGAGCGGAACATTTTAAGGAGCAGTTCAGCTGGCCTTCAGCTACTCTAACAATTACCTACCATTCCCAGACAGCGTGAATGGAACATGGAAGTAGGTCCGCCGACTATAACTGAAGTTCAAAAAGGTATAGGTAATCTGAAACGAGGAGGGGCAGCTGGTCCAGATGGATTGGCTCCAGATGTCTTTAAGGATTTTGGTCTAGTTTTGGCGATTAGGTTAACTAATATTTCATAAAATCTGTGAGTTAGACGTGATCCCATCTGATTGGTCGCAATCACTGATTGTTCCGATATATAGGGTGTCAAAATCATCCTGTGGTAGCCATAGAGGCACTATTTTGACTAACATAGCATCTAAAATACTAGCTTCAATATTTATCGGGTGCCTAACAAAGACTTGTGAACTGCAAACACGAGAGAATCAGGCTGGCTGCATCGACCACATATTCACCATTCATCAGGTTCTAGAACACGGGCATGCTTATCGGCGTCTGGCAATGGTGGTCTTTCTTGACCTAAAAGCAGAATTTGACTCTGTAGACTGAGAGGTTCTATGGCAGTGTCTGTCATCGAAAGGCGTACCTCAGAAGTACGTAAATCTTGTGAAGGCTCTTTACTCGAACACTACTAGTCGAGTCAGAGCTTATGACGAACTGTCATCTGATTTTGCAACCTCAAGTGGTGTCCGACAAGGCTGTCCGCTTTCTCCACTTTTGTTTAACTTCATTATAAACTTACTGATGGAAATAACGCTTTCGTCGACTGAATTCTCGGGCATTGATCTCCTACCAGGAGGTCCACTTATCGACTTAGAATATGCAGATGATATGATCCTGTTTGGTGAAGACTCTAAAATGCAGTCTTTTGATAGCACTGAGCAACAATGCCAGAATGTTAGGGATGCCCTTCCCCCCTTTCTAATTGCAAATCGTTGCTTCAGAACTGACCTGCGTCAACACCTGAACTTCACGGCTGCAGAACGTGGCCATTAAGAGTAGAAGATACTCATAAGTTACTAGTATTTGATCACAGATGTCCTAGAAATATTGCCAGCATCTGCTGGGATCACTGGATAAGTAATAGTGAGGTTAGACGGAAGATACTAGGGAATGATGGTAATTTAGTTGGTGAGGTTGTGAATCTACATCGACTGAGATGGTTGGGTGACGTATTGCACATGTCCAACTACCGACTACCACGACGCGCAAAGCTGACTAGTGTTGAAGGAAGATTGGAGAAAGTTATGGGGAGCCAAACGAAAAAATGGCATCAGTCATTGAAGTCGCTAACTTCTCGTCTTAGCCATGTTGGTAGATGCATACTGCTTGATTGGAGTCCACATGACTGTCGTAACCAATGGTTGGAGACTCTGGGTGATATGGTCCAGAATCTATCACAATGGCGTCGATGCATACACTCTTTGTCTTTCTTTAAACCATAAGATTAAAATCGCTTTATATCCTTCGTTCTATGAACTGTTTCTTTCTTTCTGTACTATGTCATTATACACAATCTTTCTTTCATATATTACTACAATTGAAGTGACTACTTCTATGAATTTGATGCTTATTTTGTTGTGCTAAAGAGGTGTGGCAACTTGGGCTGATGCGTGTATGTGTCTGGTCCTACGTTGTAGATGACTGACCGAGAGAGATACGAACCAATTGTAACGTAGAGCACATGTATATCTGTCTTATCTCTCATAATCAATCCTTATGTAGAAGTAAAACATCAAAACGATGAACAGTGCAAAAGTGAAAACAGTAAACATGAGGTTGGGAGTAAATTAAAAATTCTCCTCAAAAGGGACTGATAAACTGAAGCAATGAAGAAAATATAATTGTCATAGCAAAGTAAAAATTAAACCTGTTTGTCAAATCCTGAATTCATTGGAATGCAAGTGGCCTACGAAATCTGAATCGTCCGACCATTTATTTTGTGGTGTTATTTTTGTATATAAACATGTTCTTTTGCTATAGAAAGACCTTGTTTTGCTAGTTTGTTGTATTGTCTTCAATCTCAGTCCATCCAGAGGTCTAGTGTCTTGAACCCTGATTGCTCATTCACACTTGTATCATGGAATGTTATATGTTGGCTGTTAGATTAGAAAGTTCCATCAAGGTGAGAAGAAATCGGCTTGAGAAACGATGTCTTTTCGTCATCTCCGTGTATGCAACGACAGATTACAGCCCGGATGCAATCAAGGATGAATTTTACCACCAGTCAACTGTTCTTCGGTGGGTTGATACCGAGTTTTGAACGTGGTTCGGTTCGATATTTGATTGAAACAGAAGCTCCAATCAATTTGCTGACATCGATTCGTTTAGGACAATGAATTTTTTGGCCACTAAATATAAGATTAGCACAAACAAGGACATGATCTGGGTCCAGATAGGTACTGCAAAAGGAGCACCAGTCTTGTACACAACCACGCCTGCGGTAGCTGATCGCGATGTGATATATCTGAGTTCAGGTTTGAGCTTCAGAGAGATTATATCAGGTAGCACATCGGCGATTACTATACCTATGGTTAGTGATAACCAGAAATAGGCTGTAGTTTGTGCAAAGTTGTAGTAGACAGTCGTCGTTACCCGACCTGTGCATTCAAGTCTCCAGCATGTACTACAATGTCTTTCAAATGCACTTCTTGTAGAAGAACAGTTATTTAGTGCTAAAACTCATCCTTAATCGCATCCATGTTGCAATCTGTCAAAGCGTAAGCGTTGATGAAAAGACATCGTTTCGCACAGATTTCTTTACACTTTGATGGAGCTTTTTAGTCTAACAGCACATAACTGACTGTTAATGGTGATACAGTTGATCAGTGCTGCTTCAGCTCTAGCACTCAATGCAATGCCGATGCCTGCAAAACGAAACAAAGATGCCTCGGCGTCCTCGGATAATTGCACGCAAAAAAACAGATAGAGAACCAATTTGTAGTACTTCATTAGAGTCAAAAATATGAATATCATATAGACAATAAACGTCGACATTAAGACTTTCTAATGACGTCGCCAACCCCATTTGTTCTACGATCTGCATTAGTGTGCGAATGTTGGAGACCAGTTTGAATTGCATACGTGCTTCCAGAAAAATGGCTGAGTATTCATATCTGTCGGTAGCATTCAACGTCCGATTAGTCCGTGACTTGAGATCGTTTAGATTTGACAAGGTTTTCGCCATAGGCGAGCTATTGTAGGAGTTGAAAAATAAAGGAGCATACAAAATAGAAATAAAGGAATAGTTAAGTGACGCAATATAAAACAAAAACGGATACTACAAAATTGTTTTGAGCATGGTTTGTGAGAATGAGAATTAAAGCGTGAGTGGTTTTCCTAGTTTTAGTGATCATTTGTTTTTTGTGTGGTCTGGTATACTTCTTGGGAGCCCAAGCCGAGGCAAGTGATTTTCTTAGAGACCAACTTGAGCCTTGGTCTAATCTATGAGTCTATAGATCAACGTTAGGAGATTCAGTTCCATGGTAGCCGGTGACCAACACCAGGTTCATGCTTCATTTGTTTCCTTAGGATCCTGGAGCCCGTGTGTATCATTGGTTTGGGACCAGGGCTTTCCAACTTCCGTACCCACCAGCTTTGGTTAAGCACCGGTCATCTGCTTTTCGTCTTGATTTTTAAACTATGCCACCGTTTCGAGTAGGACTTTGACAGTGTCCGTCTACGCGTGGGCATATGGAAACATTTCTAGATTGAGGGCGGACTCCCTACCCTCGGCCGTACCAAGGCGTTTGTGAGTTACCTTTATTATTCTTGGATTCGCCTTTATGGTTTTATCTCGTGCTATTGGCATATGTCTACTTGTATCGATTTTTACGTTGCATTTGACCGAATCACATTTTCGTTCTAATTTCCATGAACATCAAATTAATGTTGCCGAATAGCAGTTATTGTTTGTATACCACGAACGATATTCGTAAAATTTTATTTTTTAATTCATTTTATAATTTTTCTTAATACAGATTCCCTGGATCAGATGGACCTGGAATACCTACAGGTCACGGTACTCAGGGAGGAGGAGGAGGATCAGCCTATGGATCTCAAAATGACGCAGAAGATTTATACAACTAAACGATTGTCACAACATTTTACTTTTCAGTTTATTGAAAACTTTAGGCTCAAGCTATCCTGTGTCATCAATTTTCACCTACTTATGCTTCTGGTTTGAATTCTAATTATCAGTTATGTGACGTCTGACTGATTAATTTTTTCTATCCCCAAACTGTTCCCTTTGTAATTCAGACAGAATTTGTACCTGGCATATTTCCATACATTTATTTCATGTTATTACTTCTCATTCTACTTAGTTATGTCTACAATACGCAATATTTCCTTTTACTTTTCGAACATTCGAGATGGGGCTTTTACACACTCATGTCTCAAGTAGTTACAAGTGACATGTCTTTTGAATAAGTATTTTGTAGTAGGGTCGATCCAAGTGGTATTTTGGGTTCCAATTCTATAAACTGTAGATCAAATTTTAACATTGCACTAAAAGATAAATCTAAGCTCTTTTTTATAAGTAAATAATTACAATAAAGAACAGGAAAATTTGAAGTCGATATTACCTGCGTTTCACTTCAAAATGGCTATTAAGATTTAAAAGAAGAAAAATTGAATATATCGACTCTAACTTTATAATGATCCTGGAAAGTAGTAGGTAACTTCCATTTTAGGGTGTGTATTACTAATGTGATTTCAGACGACCTTCATTCTTACACTTAGTAACGTTACGAGCCTATAAATCTCATGAACTCAAGTCTTATCCAACAAACTGTTGCATGAACTTTAATCATATGTCGATTCCTGAGCTGCTAAATTCTAACTACAGATCACTAATTAATAAGATGAACTATCTTCAACTCCTGATGATGTGGGTACATATGTGACTCGTAAACGTGCTCGGATCACTGTATAAGTCCTGTTTTACCTTAAGTATATGGGAAGAGTGCACTCTTAAATCGGATCAAGAAATATAGAAGAAAATATTCAAAATCTGAAAATCATCGTACGACTAATTAGGAATTATTTACAGATGGCTCACTGGAAAACATTACTGATGTTATCACTTGTCGCACTAAAGCAATTTTATTAGAGTTTATATTGACTTACATCTCCACAACTAGAAGGACTACAGAGGGTAAAAGAAAGAATATACAAGGAGAAAAACCGAAAATGTAGAGAATGTGGCAATAAGAATGTGAGATTTAGACCCATAGCAGTAACTTTACCTTCCCTCAAAATGGAAAAATTGTTGTTACTCCCACTTCAACCTGCATTAAAAGAGCACATTGATCCGTATTAGTTTGCTTACAAATGCTAAAGAAGCACTTATATGTTGTTGTTCTGCATCACAATAGTGTTCATCTCGGAAATGTCTAGGAAGGACGTTCGATGCGCTTTTCTGAATTTTATTCCTGTTTTTGATTCTATCTCAAGGCGCTAGTACTGACGGCTGGATAACCAACTGGCTATGTACCTACCTCTGGAATAGCAGTACACTGCACTTGGAGTAAAGTGCTCAGTGTCTCTACTGTCTCATGAAGGTGTGCCACAGGGGGCTTTTCTTTCATCTCTTCTGCGTGATCTGCCATCTTCCACAGAAAACACTGAATTATGCGGATGAGTTCACTATATGTATGCCGATTTCTGCCCCTTTGCATTCCAAAGAAATGAACGAGTTTTTGTCTCGTATTGAGTGGTGGTATGTTGTTAATGGTCTCATACTTAGTCCGTCTATTTTTTTCTGTATTTTGTAAAGAAACTTGTTGAAATACCTCGTGCTGAGAGTTATATATTGTACCAAAATATAATATTGATTAAAGCCATTAATAATAATATTTACTTAAATATTACAATCTCCCTTCAGTTTATGTCTCCGTGCTTGCTTGGGAATGCCGTTCACGTAATATTTTACGGCCAGAATAGTTGAGAAGTAATTCATATTAGCATGTTTCCGGATCTTGATGTACTAAGAATTTGTCTTCTTCACTACACACAAACCTGACTATTTCCAGGTGTGCATTCTGACAAGAAATCTGGTCATTTAAAAAGTATTTCACGCGTAACCAGCATCTTTGATGTTTTTGATAATCGTGATAATCAAAATGTCTTCTCTCTCAATTTATATATTACCGGGGTACCTGATACTTTTTCTCATCATAAGGATATAATAATCTTATCATACTATCGTTAGATTATCTGAGTAAATATTTGCCGGTTTCTGAAATGTGGCTGGATATTATCCATATAAACATATCCGCAAAAGTGATTCGCTCACTTGTAGAACTATCCCTAGTATCAACAAGGTAGTATGTTGCATCACAATTGCCACATCCTACCTATAAGTCAGATGATAGTACAAAATCAACTGAAAAGTAACCTAAACCGCAGTTCGGTTATCGACTAAGCCTGTATACCGTTGAGACTCTATGTACACGTCATCAATGTTCAAAAATACTTGATGTAAGCAAACTACATAAACATAGTTTATTGAGACCAGATGTCTCCAGATTCTATGAATACTGTCTAATTTAATGTACACAAGACATGACTGAAGATTGTTTGTAAGGACTTACTTTCTCCTCAGGAATTGATTAACAATTGACTTCGGCCATAGTCAGATATATGTTTAGTAGTATTGTGAAGCTATAATAATAGATATGACCACATATTTTCAGCATAGGTTTGTGAAAGTCGTTGAGTTTTAATTGAGATCATGAACCGATTAATGTTATACCACCAGTGCAAACCTGGGAGCACTGGTCGGCCGTTTCGTCCCGATGTGGGACCCCTCAACAATGCGCATCAACGATCCTACAAGTGGGGTTCGAACCCAGGACCTTCGGTCTCGCGGGTGAACAGTTAGTCTCTAGACCATTGATCCGGCATCCAACAGTGATAGAGTCTAACTTAAACCAATCCATGATAATGTGCGACCACTTTTCTGCTCTAACATTGATTGGTGCATAATCTCAAGTAGAACTCAACAATCTCCACAAACCCATACTGATTGTTATCATGTGCTCACTCGTGACTAGCTTCGAGAGGTAATTCTCGGAGTTTTAGTGAGAAGCCGTGACCAATGGGTGTGAACGTGTCGGGTGTGAGGCAGTTACCCACCGACAATGGACAATAGTCGCGCAATATCGTAGACTGGTTGAAGTTAGACGTTAACACTGTTGGATGTCGGCTCATTGGTCTATAGGTTAATTGTTTACTTGCGAGATAGGAGGTTCTGGGTTCGGACCCTGCATGCGAGATTGTGGACAAACAATGCGGAGGAGTCAGGTTTCAATTTAACTCAGTGGTAGTAGTAGTAGTAGTCTGTTTCCTTCTAAAAGAATTTTAACCATGTTTACTTGTATATCAAATACTGTACGTGTCATTTTGTTAAAAAGGACAATTTATTTACTAGCGATTCTATGTTTTGATATTCATTCATTGGAAAATTTGTTGTAGATTTATTCAGTACCTAGCAGTAATTATCATTTGACCGAGTATTACATCAGTTCAGGGGATCGATCACACATGTTTGGCTATAAACACACTTCATCTTTCATCTATGACAAGGTGCTGCATCAATAAACCATGACCTCAAATTTAAGTTCAAGTCAGCTCATAAATCGACTGTCAACTTCAACTATCATTCCTAGTAGTAAGGTGCAGCAATTAATACTGTTACACGCCTATGTAATTAGTACCAACCTTTGGATAGATAAATTTTTCTTATCTTCCTACTTATTATGTCACCCATATGTTTGCGTTTGTCAATTATTAACATGTAACTTTGATCATGTTTTATACATGTGTTCATGATAGTATGTATGCGTTTATCTGCTTCATGTATTTCTTACATGATTTATAAACACTGAATTATCTTATTGTTTCTGAGTCTCGAATATCACCGACCTTCAATGCTTTGTACATTGGCTGAATGTTTTATTTCTAATTTCATTTTCAATATAACTGTCTGAAATTACGTTTTTTTAGATACAATTCGTAATCTACTTTTGATATACCGTTATTTTAAACGTGTTGATTCGACAGGAGATATACTAAGTCATTTAGGATATATACATCATTATCGTAGATAATTGAAGTCAAATAACGGTCGCTCGAGAGATGTAAGTAATCCAATGACACCTTAATACAAAACTTGAAGGTTATAGATTTTACCCCCGGTTGGGTTTATTACGATCACGAATACTGAGTCTTCAAACTAGGACGAAACACCTAGCTACTGTTCGTTAATAGCTCTTCAGCTGATGTAAACCAATGATTAGAACTTTCCTCAAATATATACTAAACAATGAATGAATCATCTTCTCTAGTCCATTAGGAATTCACTAGTCTCAAAATCTGTTATTAAAAATGTTATCTCTCCGTTCGTCTTTTTCAATGTAAAGTGATTCTTTTATTCATTGAAACCAGTTATAATGTAAATAAAATAACTTCATTCTTCTAATATTTATTCAATTCATTGATTGCAATCATTTGAAAGAGGTAGATCAGTGATTTAGACCTCGCGAACAGTTATTGCTCAGTTAATTAATAGTAATAATAATAATAATATATTACAAATATCCATGCTATAGCTACTTAATTGTACAAATAACCAATTTTCGTCAACTCTATAATGACAGATAAATGTGATTGTAATTTTAAGAAAATACAATATCAAACAAAGAAAAGGTTTGCTTATATCCATTGTGCATCATCGTAGAAGACTAAATCAATAACTTACATTGATCGGCAAACGCTAGAAAATACGGAAAGTATGTAAAGGTTGATTGAACACCATTTTGATATTTGCTTATTTCTACAAAGAGGAAGAAAATTTCTTAAAATTGAAGTTTTTTAGTTACGTTAGGATTCATTTATATGAACGTATTAATTTAAAATTGATTCAGAAGACATATTGTTTTACTTTCGTTAATCAATCTGCTAACTGATGTTGATAAAAATGTACTTGTTCAGATATTTGTGTGGACTTATTATTGTTGAAAGGGTTTAGCTGATGTATGCTTAAAATTATTTGATAAAATGGTTGGATTATACTACATTGATGG